AATGAGGGAAGATCTACCACCTGGATAATGGATTCTGGAGCATCCAGACATGTGACAGGCAATGCCAGTGAGTTCTTATCTTATACTCGCTTAGCAGAAGCAGAAAGCATCCAGATCGCTGATGGTACAACACAAGATGTGGTTGGTAAGGGCACTGTTAGTTGTACATGTTCTATAACTTTATCTAATGTTCTGCATGCTCCTTCATTCCCTATCAGCCTGTTATCCATTAGTGCCATTATCCTCCAACTAAATTGTATTGTTTATTTTGACATTCCCAAGGTGATCTTCCAGGAGAAAGGGACATGGCGAAGACTTGAGACTGAGACATGACGTAGCGGGCTGTGGTACTTGGACCGTGAAGGGATGGACTCAGCGCTGACATCTGTGGTGGAGAGGACGGGAAGAGGAGGAGCTAAAGTGTGCGCAGAAGATGAGTTGATGCTTTATCATCAACGGATGGGACATCCGTCATTTGGCATTTTGGGTAGAATGTATCCAACCTTGTTTGAAAAAGGAAATAAACATAAGCTGTATTGTGATGCTTGTGAGTTTGGAAAGCTAACTAGAAGCTCTTATGTTAGTTCAGGTAATAGGAGTTCTTGTAAGTTTGAAGTAATACACTCTGATGTATGGGGACCCTGCCCAGTAAACTCTATAAATGGATGCAAGTTTTTTGTTATATTTATTGATTGCTTCTCTAGGGTCACTTGGGTGTATCTTATCTATAAATGGATGCAAGTTTTTTGTTATATTTATTGATTGCTTCTCTAGGGTCACTTGGGTGTATCTTATGAAAAACAAAAGTGATGTAGTTGGTTATATTTATTGATTGCTTCTCTAGGGTCACTTGGGTGTATCTTATGAAAAACAAAAGTGATGTAGTTGCCTATTTTAAAGACTTTCATAAGCACATCCAGACTCAGTATGGTGCGGCAGTAAAGGTGTTGAGGTCGGATAATGAGACAGAATACACCAATAGAACACTTGGGGAGTATCTGTCAGCTCAGGGAATTCTACACCAGACTATATGCCCATACACCCCAGCTCAGAATGGGGTAGCAGAGAGGAAGAACAGACATCTCCTTGAAGTCGCTAGGAGTATGATGATGGCGATGAATGTCCCAAAGGTGATGTGTGGACAAGCAGTCTTGACTGCTGCTTACTTAATCAACCGAATGCCTTCGAGTGTGTTGGAGTGGAAGTCTCCTCGTGAGATACTGAAGAGAGATAACGAGGGGGGCCTGCCATTGAATGTATTTGGATGTGTGTGCTTTGTAAAGGACAACAGACCATCGATTGGGAAGCTAGACCCTAGGGCTGTGAAGTGTATATTCGTGGGATACAATGGCACCCAGAAAGGGTATGTCTGCTGGAGCCCGGTGGAGAAAAAGCTGTTTGTCAGCATGGATGTGCAATTTCGGGAGCTGGAGCCGTACTACACAGTAGAGGTTACTTCACCTTTTGGCGACTTACCCGATACTGGAGGTATGAGGCGAGAGAGGGAGAATGGTGAGAGCTCAAGGGGGCCAATCCCAATTATGATTCCGTACTCAGAAAAGAATGAGGATGAAGACGAAGGGGAGGAGGAGGAGAAAAGGGGTGTTAGGCCTACAGCTCAGGGGGAGTTGCTTACATACAGCAGGAGGGGGAAGGAACCAGAGGTACCTACAATAACAGTGCCAATGCCTAGTCCCTCGTCCAGCTCTGCTCTCACTCCTGAGACACCTACACCACACTCCACTCTAGGTAATACCATTCCTACTCCTAACCCTCTCCCCGTTCTAATGTCAGAAAGGAGGATTACTAGCAGTAATGCGGGAAATCCTCCTAAGAGATATGGTTTAGATCTAGCTCATTCTGTTTTCTATTCACACATATCACCTTCACATGGAGCATTCATTGCATCATTAGATTCTGTTACTATACCTAACAACTGGCAAGATGCTAAGAAGGACCCAAAGTGGAAGGCTGCTATGCATGAGGAGCTGGGGGCTCTTGAGAAAAACCACACGTGGGAGTTAGCGATACTGCCAGCAGGGAAAAGAGCAGTGGGGTGCAAGTGGGTGTTTACTGTGAAGCAGAACCCAAAAGGGAAGGTTGAACGATACAAGGCACGACTGGTGGCAAAATGGTACAGCCAGACATACGACATTGACTACGATGAGACTTTTGCACCAGTGGCGAAGATGAGTACTGTTCGGATGCTGATTTCTCTGGTAACAAATGGTGGATGGGAACTACACTAACTGGATGTGAAGAATGCGTTTCTTCATGGAGATCTAGTGGAAGAGGTGTATATGGAGATACCACCTGGATGTGGCACAAGAGAGACAGTGGGTAAGGTCTGCAGGCTGAAGAAGTCTCTGTATGAACTGAAGCAGTCCCCTCGAGCATGGTTCAACAGGTTCAGGAGAGCCATGGTTGATATGGGATACAGACAGATCAATGCCGACCATACTGTATTCTTTAGAAAAAATATGGGTCACATCATTATGCTGACAGTGTATGTGGATGATATGATCATCACAGAGGATGATGAGAAGGAGATTGCACAGCTCAAGGTAAGATTGAGCAAAGAATTTGAAGTGAAGGATCTGGGTCAGCTTTGATACTTCCTTGGTATAGAGATAGCTCATGGACCTAAGGGGATTGTTCTCTCCTAGAGGGAGTATGCACTGGACCTTCTTGCAGAGACGGGGATGTTGGGATGCAAGCCTACTGCTACACCGATTGATCAGAGTTTCAAGCTGAGTGCTGAGGCAGGTGAAACTATTGATCGTGAGAGATATCAGAGATTGGTGGGTAGGCTAATCTACCTGAGTCACACACGTCCAGACATCTCATTTGCGGTAAGCATGGTGAGCCGCTACATGCATGACCCAAGAAAGGGTCATATGGATGCAGTATACCAGATACTAAGGTATCTGAAGAGTGCCCCTGGCAAATGACTAAGATTCAAGAGGAGTGGCCATGTGAACATTGAGGGCTACTGTGACTCAGATTGGGCTAGCCGCGGAGATGATCGGAGGTCTACCTCAAGGTATTGCATATTTGTAGGAGGCAACTTAGTCTCCTAGAAAAGCAAGAAGCAATCTGTGGTGGCGAATCAACAGCTGAAGCTGAGTACAGAGCCATGGCCTTGGAGGTTGTGGAGCTGATGTGACTAAAGAGCATGCTGGTAGAGCTGAACCTTGACCAAGGGGCCAAGATGAGTTTGTGGTGCGACAACAAGTCAGCTATCAGCATCGCCAACAACCCATTTCAACATGACAGAACTAAGCACATCGAGATTGATAGATTCTTCATCAAGGAGAAGCTGAACAGTGGGCTAATGGAGTTAGGCTATGTTCCAACTAAGGAGCATGCTGCAGACTGTTTGACTAAAGGGCTTAGCTCAGTAGATCTAGCTAGAGGGTGTGACAAGATGAGCTTAATAGATATCTTTCGCCCATATTGAGGAATAGTGTTGAGAATGTAATGCAATTAAAGGGTTTTAGAGGGCCTTTGTGTAAACATGTGTGTAAGGCTATATAAGCCAATAATTCTATCAATGAGAATACAGAAGAAACCCTAAACCCAATTCTTACAGAAAGCAATCAAACCAATCCAATACAAAGGCAATTCCAAACATTTCTTAGTTTCATTTTGCTTTTTTCAGGGTTAGCTACAGCTATCCGCATCGTATATACTTAAAATAGGATATGAAATTCCTGATGGATGGACATTTATTCCAATACTTTGCGGATCGGCCTAATTATCAAGATCACTTTCAAGTTTGACCCTTATAGATGGCACATTGTGTAAACAAAAAAAAATTATAAACTATCATTAACTATTAGATTTTTTATAAAGGCTAAATATCATAAAATCCCCTTTAACTTTAGATGATTATTAGAAAACCCCCCTTAGCTTTCAAAATATCAAAAAAAAAACCCCTTAAGTTTATGGGAGGTTTTGTGATAATCCATATACTTAAGGGGGTGTTTTCCAATTTTTTGAAAGCTAAGAAGGGTTTTATGATATTTAACCCTCTTTTAAACAACTAGGTTAAACTACTTTCATCGGAGAAAACATTTCCAATTGCACTAATTTAGTACTATATGTGTTGTCATAGAATGTAGATGCTGCAGCTTCAAAGGAATTCATTACCATTTTGTGCAGGGAAGAGACCGTGCCCTAGTTCGGAACGAGCCTGATTGGGAGCTAGCTGCTTTATTCACCATCTTGTTCTAAGGTATTCCTAGAATCCATCGATGGACCTAGCCTGGCCCATGAACTACCCCTTATCTCGATTTCAAACACGTGCTTCAAGTTGCCATGAGCCATTATCATTAGCTCCCTAATATACATGCGTGAAGTTTGTCTATAGAAGATTTTACACGGGGGCAAATTCTTAATGGAATATGCACTATTTTCTGAATGTAGGCGCACGAGGTGCATCTGTCCTCTTCTAATAAGTTAAAAAGAAAATTCTAAGACGGAGCGTTAAACAGAAAATTCTCTCTCAAATAAGGGAATTAAAAGAGGAAGAAGAATATGTCAGCAGCCTCAGCCGTCCACATTTATTTTGACAAATGAAAAGCTCGTGGGCCCCACAAACCATTTGCACAGTGATGTACAGTAAAATATTAATATTTTATTATGCATAGTATTTTTTTAAAAACTATAAATAGGCGTCAAAATCCTTAAGAAAATCTCATCCCAGAAACAACTTCTTATATAGAAGAGTGAGAGAGAAAAAATAGGGAGAGTTTCTTCTTGAAAAAAGAGAGAGTTTGTAACTCCAGAGTTTTTTCTCCTTGCCCGTGGACGTAGGCAATCAAGTGCCAAACCACGTAAATCTGTGTGTCTAATTTTTTATTTCTACTTTTTCTTTACTATTGCTGTGACCCTACTCTATTATGCCCCGGGTTTGTCCCAACAGAATAATGTTAACACAAAATTGTAAGATCCATCAGAACTCGTGACTTCTAACTACGGTCGAGAGTCCGATACCGATGAAAGACTCGGTTCTGCCGAAAACACCCAAGCTTGACCGCCCTCGACCTCCTCCCTCGATGAATCCTCCTCCAAAACCCACTAACCACGGCCCCTCTCCTGCCCAACGCCACGCCGAACCCCTCTCTTTCTTCCTCACGCGCCCCATCCTCTCCCTCTCCTTGACATCTCCGCCCTCACCTACCTCCTCCTCCTCCTCCGCCCCCAACTCCCGCATCCCCTCCCCTCCCCGCCCTCATCCTCATCTCCTTCGACGGCTTCCGCTTCGGCTACCAGTTCAAATCCCCGTCCTAACCCCCCGCCTCAACCGCCCTCAATCTCCACCTCCACCTCCGCCGACCTCGGCCTCATCCCCGTCTTCCCTCCTCACTTCCCAACCACTACTCCATCGCCACCGGCCTCTACCCCCTCACCACGGCATCGTCGCCAACAGCTTCCTCGATCCCCTCAACGGGCGGCGTCTTCAACCACCCACACCACAACTCCTCCTTCTGGCTCGGACGAACCGGAAACCGCGGCCAATCAAGGATTCCCCGCCGCGGTCTATTTCTGGGCGGGCGGCGAGGTGAGGAAAGGATCTTGGAAGTGCCGTGGCGATTCCTTCTGCCCCAAGTACAACAAGTCCGTTCCTTTCGAGGAGAGGGTGGACGCTGTGCTGAGCTACTTTGATCTGCCGAGGGAGGAGGTCCCGGTGTTCACGGCGCTGTATTTCTCGGACCCGGATGCTCAGGGGCATGTTTTCGGGCCGGATCACCCGGAGATTACGAGGGCGGTGGTGCATTTGGACAGGGTTTTGGGGAGGTTGATTGAGGGTTTGGAGGAAAGGGGGATTTTTGAGGAGGTTAGTATAATTTTGGTCGGTGATCATGGGATGGTGGGTACTTGTGAGGAGAAGTACGTTTATCTTGAGGATTTGAAGCCTTGGGTTGAGATTCCGAGTGGTTGGGTTCAGTCGCAAGGGACATTGCTTGCGATTCGACCGCCCGCGGGGATTTCGGTGGCTGAATTAGCGGAGAAGATGAATGAAGGATTAAGCTCAGGGAAGATAGTGAATGGGAATAAGTTGAGAGTTTATTTGAAGGAGGATTTACCGGAGAGATTGCACTATTCGGCCAGTGATAGAATTTGTCCTGTCGTTGGTTTAGTTGAAGAGGGGTATAGCGCTGTGATGAGTAGGAATCAGGGGTATAAATGCGGAGGAGATCATGGGTATGATAACGAGTTGTTTTCGATGAGGAGTATATTTGTAGGACATGGTCCTCGGTTTGAGAAGGGGAGGAAGATACCGTCTTTTGAGAATGTTGAGATTTATAATCTGATGACTTCGATTCTTGGGCTGAAGGGAGCTCCCAATAATGGTTCCGATTCGTTTGCAGAGTCTGTTCTTTTGCCAAGGACTTGATGTGGATTAGAATTGGCAATGAAGGTATGTTGCTGCATGATACATTGAAGTGTTTCTATATCATTTGGGGTTTGACCATTGTTTGGTAATGTTATACATCATTGTTTCTGAGAAAATAAATTCAGAAATTCTCAGTTACATACGTCGTCTTTGGAATCGCTCTTGGCTTTGTGCAGTAGCTACTACCTAGTTGTTCAGTAGGTGAACTCTTAATTGTCTGAATATTGACATAAACCATAATATCAATATTATACGCAGTTCACATACTCTATCTACAACTTTTCTTTGGAATCTACTTATCTGTAACCATCTAGGTTCTAAATAATGCAGATGTGAATACCCCTGGTTGTGTTTGTATCATTTTTTGTGAAGATGTGTATGCTGAGCTTTTGAAACTCTTTAATATTTGTGCTCTTATCTCTGTTCATCATCTCTTGCAACCTATCATATAATTCTCTACTTTAATAAATAATTGCATTGCCTCTTCCAATCTATGTTTACGGTAACCTGATTTTCGATTCTATATTCCCAATGCCATGATTAGGGGTGGTAAACGATCGAATCGAATCGAATACTAAAGTGTTCGTATTTGTATTTGTTTAAAATTATCGAATTCGAATGCATACTCTAATATTCATATATCTAGTTTTTCGAATTCGAACTCGAATACTTGGTATTTGATAAATATTCATGAATATTCACGAATACTTATCGAATATCAAAGTATATTTATTCTGCTAAAGAATTTGATTTTCAAATAGTATTAAAATTCATAAATAAAAATTATTCCTTTATAATATATGATGTATATATATTTAAATCAAGATTTTAATTAGAAAATAGATTTAAGATTATTTGAATCTTAAAATCAATGTATAAAACTTAAGTAGAAATGATAAGTGGGTTAAAAATATAACATCATATGTGCAATAATACAAATAATTAGTTGCGATCAAATTTTAAACGAATATTTAATAAACAAACGAATCGGATATGCATTTGGTTAAATTCTATTCGTTAGTAAACTCGAATACTAAAAAATATTTGTTTAGCGGTAAATGAACTACCGAATCGAATATGACCGAAAAGTTATTCGAACAATTATCGAACTATTTGTTAATTATTTGGTTCATTTCCACCCCTAGCCATGATTTATCATTTCATTGACTCTAAGCATTAGTAAAAGTTGAAAGTATATCTTGAACTAGTATTGAAGTTGGTGAAACAATTTTCTTATTCCCTTTGTTTAAGTACCTCTACTTCCTTATTTTGGATATGATATGCCTTTCCTTGTTGACAAAGCAATAATAACATAGCCCAAATCTTTTGTGTGGGCTACCTGAATCGTTTTATCCATTCATTTATAGTAAAGACATTTCTTTTGCTACATTGATTAGTACCCTTTTTTTCCTGCCTCAAATCCACGTCCTTTAGGTCCACCCCAAATCCTTCTTGTTGCTTCATCAACGACATTCATATCAGTTACAAATTATCTAGGAAATGCATATAGCTAACATGAAAGCATTTTAGATGGATGACTGGCTATTTGCAAAAAGTTAGGATAACGATTGATTTAATATATAAGAATTAGAGGTGACTTAGGTGGATTAGGCATGTGCTGCATAGACATCGGAGTTCATCCATAAATTTAGAGATGATTGAGAAAGCCTGAGCATGTGCAGCAAAGACCAATATATAAGCATGTTAAGAAGAGTGATAGAAAGGAGTCGAAGGATTACTTCCCTTGTTAGCATCTAGCATATTGACTCTATGTATTGTAATATTGTACTTTGTAATTTGGAAAAAAAATGAATTTCGGTCTTTCTGATACCTTCTAAAAGCTCAGAAGAGAAGATTACAGAGGGTCAAAGGAGCATACAATAATAGTAATTAGATAAAGGAAATAAGACTGAGAACTTGATGAATATCATTCTTTTTTATACCTTATTAGCCTGTTTTAAACATGTTTTAACAGCTTAGGATTCAGTTTCACCTTGTACTTTCTTTGTGCTAGAAGATTGCTACATCATCATTCTTCTTCTTCTTTCTCTATGGAGAAATACCGTTGCTAGATTTCATTATTTGGTGAAAAATCTTCTTCTTTCAATTGCCTATTCACCCTTTACGAGTATTCATAATCACTCCTCAATTTTAAGATATGCAAGTAATACTTCCTACACAATTTTCATTTATTTTGACGTTTTGATATAAATTCGGTTGAAAGCAACTAACCTGGATTGCTTTTTTTTTTTTGGGGATTAAACACAGAATAACAAGAGCCTTATGTCTACTCTTTTATTCTAAAGCAATTTTCAACTTCCTACAAAACTCCATCATCATTTACATAAGTTTATTTCTTTCAGTCCCTAATTCGTTATCTGTACATTATGTTTCCTCCATATTATTTCAAGTCATTGATTCTGTTGTTACTTCCAAAGGAAGAAGAACAAAAATTTATCGGTTCTGTCTGATTTAACCTTCACCCTATTTACTGCCTTTGTAGTAATGTGCATATCTTGTTATGTTCTTTGATTGAATGTGCAACCCTAAGCACTTCCCTTTCAAGTGAGCATATTCTGCAATCCAGTACTTGAGTTCTTCTGTGTATCATCTTTGCTATAAGCCTACAAGTCATGATATGTTCCTTGAATTCCCTGTCACTGTACCTAATATTTTCACTTTATGCTTCTCATACATGAGCTTCTTAAGCTACTAAGAAAATGTACACCTTATAGAGCAATGAGACTCATTCTCTTTTGCACGTAATATGTGAACTTTTCTTTTTGAAACTCATAACAGTTTATCACAACAGTAGTTTCCATTTGATGTCTATGTGAGAGGCTAGAAATTTGAATGGGCCTGAACTAGCCCAAGGCCGAAAGGGTCATATAAAAAACCGGGGTAGGTTCTACAAGAAAGATTCAAACTAATAACCTACACGCTCAATTGCTCAATTCTTGTGCTCAAACCAAACTTCTATGTGAAATTGCAAAAGCATTGGTTCACAATTGCGATAGCACACCATTTTGAGGGTCAGTTTGGCAACTCTCCCCTTAAGCCGGTTTTGGTCGCACCAGTTTAGTTGTGGACTACCTTAAGGGCTAAATTTTGAATTAAAAAACTGGTTCAATTCCGATTTGTTTTTTGCCAAACATATTTTAGCTATGAACTAGGTTAGTTCCACTAACTTGGTTAATCGTAGAGGTGCCAAACAGGCCCTGGTTTTAATTACTAAACCTGAATTTGGTAATGCAAGTTTTTCCAGACTTTTTGATTGGTTTTCTTCAAAATAAAAAAGCGGTATCTGTTGCAAGAAAACAGTATCCTTTTTCTTTCCATGGTTTAGTCTTGTATAAAATAATTATTCAATAATTAATTAGCTAGTTGGTATGTTTTATTGTAGATAACCAGTTTTACGAGGAATTTATGAAATGAAATGGCGGACATTGGGTCGTGCCTTAGTCTCGATAGAATATGAAAAAGGGTATATGTTGCTTTCGTATAGTTGGTATATCTAAGTTCTAGACATCACAACAACTCACACATTAATGTCTATTATTCCACCTACTTAGCTCACATGAATCACAAGCAAACATTTGTTTACCTACCAAATTGATGTATTTGTGTATCTTCATCTGATTGGAGATCTCTACACTTAGACCAACCTTCAATTCTAAAACAGTAAAGCTTCAGCAACAGAAGTCAAATTTCCAAGTTGGCTTTAGATATCTTAACAAGGTTATTTTCGCCGACATCCTGTATATATTGCATAATAACAATATAAAATTCTTCAAGACGAGTGAAGAGAGCTATCAAATCATTGAGTGTGCTGTAATTATCTATATGTATTCATTCAAATTAAGTGCCCTGCTAATGATGCTCAACGAGTTGAAAGTTTGAACAGAGGCTTGAAACGCGTGTTGCTTAATACAAACGGAGGAGTTTTCGGCGGTAGGTGAGATATCTACCATGATTTGTTAAAAGAAACGCGAAGTGGGGAAGAACAGTGAATACGTTTCCGTACAAAATCTAGCTATGGTGTTTTTGCTTTGGACAGTTTCGTTGGAATCAAGTTTAATGATATCTATGAGACAAGTCGACGCGTGTTATTTCCTTGAGATTCTATCAAGTCAATGGGTAGCAGATGGACAAATCATTTGTCCCAATTATACAAAATTACTTCAATCTGCTTCATTCGGTAAGGAGATGAATAAAACAAAAAGAAGGAAAAAGTAGAAGAGCAAAAGAAAAAAAGGAGTAAAAGAGTTAAGAATGTTAAAACATTCAGCTAAGTTTTAGGGATGCTCAAAATAGATCGATAAGATTGTGGGTATTACTGTACCCTGCAACTTCAAGACGATATGTACGTGATGATCTCTACGCTACTGACTAAAAGCATGGAGCACATAAAGTCATAAAGTATGCGTATGGTGTCTGTTGTGCGTGGGATCCAACTAACTACTTGACTGATAGTCCACAATTGATCTGATCTTTTAGTTACACAGCATCATAAAGCTTTGAAAGTGGACCGCATCATTTAGACGCATCACGAGTCTTCTCTTCAGTGTAGAATTGTTCAACTCACAATTAGTGAGATGCTGTTCTTTAAATTAAGCACGGAGTCAATACTGTTATTTATGACCCTCATATGATCATCATAACTTTTTTGGACTGGACAAAGTAGGACTGCTTTCTTCTTCATCATGTACAACCTTAAATACTTCAATCAAATCAAATATTGGTATGGGCATTGATTATTTATCTATAAAGTTAGAGCTGATATGGATCATATGTTTTCTTTCGTGTTATTTTTTTGATTAAATGAGGGTTTGTCCACAACAACAACAACAAAACCAAAAAAAAAAAAAAAAATCCCACTTAACGTTTCCCCACTCTTAGAAAACACCTTAAAACAAGGTAACTATGCGAAAATCACCTTTCCATTTTAATTTATGTATAAATCATCTTTAAAGTGGGTTTGTCTTCCAATCAAGTATCTCCAAGTCAAATTTTCATTGAAAACACAAAAAATAAGCTTACAAAATTAACCTTAAAGTAAGCTAACAAGGTCTAAACATTAGCAAAATGAGTCACGTGTATGAAATTTGAATTTTTAAAGGGTATGTTTTTAGTTTTAGAGTAGAATTTGACCAGTGGATGGTTGATTGCAAAACGCATCCGCTTTAAAGGTGATTTACGTATAATTTCTCTATTTTAAAGGTGGTTTCTAAGGAGGAAAAAAAGCCCTAATATCTACATGTTATGATTCTCTATTAAAAGCGTTTACTTTAGTTTTCATCACTGTTATAAATAGCGGTAAATAGCCCCGTAATAACGGCGCTAATATCGTTAGTGGTCCCTTCCCGCGACGCTATCGCCCGCTACGCTATCGCGTAATAGCGATGACATATTGTGGAATATGTCTGTTTGCAAAAGCGGCCAATAGTGTGTCATAACGGTAAATAGTGAGCGATTGTATTCAAAATTTGCTTTTTGACTGTCATTTAAAAGCGGTTTGAGGTTTTTTTTAAATTAAACTCTACCATTGACCATTGCATTCCATCGTCTCCTGTGATTTTCAGCGTACTCCCGTAACCTCTCATAGCCTCTAACACCTACCTTGATACTTCCTCTCACCTCCTTCACTGTGAGCTTCTCTTAGGGCAGTCCTGTCACCGTTAAGCACTTCTTCTTAAAGACGATGACTTTTTGACTCCTCCAGTCATCTTCAGTATTACGTGATGGTTACATGTCTATTTTATGTTTAGGATCTCTTTAAATCATCTAATATGTACTTTTAGATTTCTTAGATTTTTCTTTAATTTTTCTTTTTTTAGTATTTATACATATCTAAATTAGACCGCTATTTGACTTTGCGTTTTTTACCGCTATTTTACCGTAATAGCTCGAAATAGCCTTAGCGACGTCTCACCGCTACGCGACGCTATCCGCTATCGATAACCTTGGTTTTCATGAAAAAGATTTTAACACTAGTACAAAGGATCAGTGTCTAATAAAGCCCACAGAATTTGCTTAATGGTGTAACGCCTCGGTGAGGTCCTAGCAGAAAGTCCCAGCGCCAACCATGAAGGTATGGGCATAGCCTATAAGAGGCTGTTTGGTTGTATGTTTTTACCATGTAAAAGGATGGAAAGTGTAAAAAAGTGGGTCCCAATGTCAGCTTTCATCACTTTACATTGTTTGTTTAAATTCTCTTTTACATGAAAAGCTTACACCTTTTGATTATGTGTCACCGAAAGCAAAATCACCAAAATTAGGAGTGATTTTGTTGGAAAGTTGACACAATGCCATAAATGTGTTAAAAAATAATAAAAAAGTTAAAATCTTGTAGAAAGTGGTGAGGTGGACAACCACTTTCTATTTTTTGTCATAAATACTCTAGTTTACATTATGCTATCCAAACAATGTAATACTATTATTTTAGGATTCATAAATATTCCTAACCAAACAATGTAAACACTCGAATGGAAAGTGATGAGGTGGATAACCACTTTTTATTTTGTGTCATAATGCTCTAGTTTCCTAAAAGTATCCAAACAGCGCCCCTAAGGGGCTGTTTGTTTGCGATTTGGGTAGAGGGAAAGTCTGCCAAAAGTGCAGCTTTTGGCAGGCTTTCCACCCAATTCGCCTCTAAAAAGAGGGGATTTGGGAGGAAAGCCTGCCAAAAGTTGCAGGCTTTTGGCAGGCTTTTCCCACCTTTCCTCTCAAAAAAAGGGAAACAAACAGCCCATAAAGGGAAAAAAATATCTAATGAACATAGGTTGTAAATTGGCCAATGACCACATCTCAACACCGTTATCGTCTGCCATCCGTATAGATTCTCTGCACACATGGGTACTATAAAACTATTATTTTTAAAAAAAATCATGGTTATATGCAGTGCACTGCCGCTATAAAAAATCTACAAAAAAAAAAAAATCTTGC